CTGGGCCACCGAAGCAGAATGCACAAACTTAACCACTATGCCACAGGGCTGGCCCCATCAAGTCTATTACTCTTCAAAGTATACTTTTGTCTACTTAATTTTATTTTTATTTTAGTAAACATGAAATATGAGAAAACATTTCTCTTTTGAAAGCTGAATTTTTCCACACACACACACACAAAAGAACCTGAAATGTTTTCAGGTCTTACAATTCAGAGAATGAGACATGGGAGAAAAAATTTCCCAAAGACAAGTTATTAGTTCATGACCCATGGAGACACAGGGCCAATAAATAAGAGGTCCTTCCATAGGCAATGGACAATGAGATTTAAAAACCACATTTCATTCTGAATTTGTATCCTGTTCTGTAGAGTACTACAACTATCCTCCTCTGTCCATAAAGTACTACAGTTGTCCTCCACTGTCCATAAAACTTTGATTAAAACTTATAATACATGATGACCACACATTAACAGTGATTTTGGGAATGAAGACTATTGGTTATGGTCATATTTGTGGGAAACAGATAAAAAGCAGACAATATCTTAAGGAGATTAAATACTGAGTGGTAATCAAAACTCGAATTAGGAAGAAGAAATAGAAAGTAAAATGATGGGAAAAGAAAGCCGTTTCTATGACTCTCTTCTCCTTTTTGAAAAGACCCTAGAAATAGTATAGGGGTCAGCCTTCTGGGTAGTATAAAAGCTTAAGTTATTTGATATTTTAAAAGTGAAACCCACAGGGCTGGTGGATCTTGGAACGAGTCACTCCTGTTTTTGTTGACTTCCATATGCTACTTACATGTGGATTTTAGAGTACAGAAACCTCATACTGCAGCTGGGAGAGCAATGACAATTTGAAAGAGATATTTGGTGAATAAATTAGATTTTGACAGTATATTTTCTAAAATAAGACATTGGATTATTTTTCTTTTGAGGTAAAAAGAGGACCACTCAAAGATCCTTAATATGATGTGTCAAGTGACAATTTAAACATGTTCTAAGATAACTGTAATAACATTTGCTATTTTACTGTTTGTCTAATCTCCACTCAATATTTAGGTATTTTGAAATTTACCATAGTTGGATTGTTGGCTTTTGTTTGTTTGTTTGTTTTTTAGATGTTCAGCATTGCTAAATCTTTGACTTATGGTTTTAAATTACCACGCATACCTTATCCCTTAACTCCAATATTAATATTTGAATGTACTAGGTGTTACGACAGCTCTTAGAAGTAGTGTTGCAGTTTTCTATGCACTGTCACATCTGTCCCTCTATGTGTTCCTCAGGGAAGAACTGTGAGGTACATGGGGAAGGGCATCCTAGTTTCCATTTCATGGATGATGAAACTAATGCACAGAGATGTTCATGGCTTGTTCCAGATTACAATTTACAAGTGGTAGAGCTGAGACGAGGACTTGAGTGTTTTGATTCTAAATATATAAGGTGTTTAAAAATTATACAAAATTTACCTTACTTTTAAAAATCAGTGAAACATGAACAATGGTTTCAGTAAATAAAAATGCCTGTGAACACAAACAAAAGAAAAATTTTCAAATAGGAAAAAGGTTCAGAAAGGATCTTTCACATTTCATTGACAGTCACTGCCTAATTTAGAATAGATGAATAGATTAGTGGATATGTTGTTTCGTAGAGCTCTATTCAACGAATGGAAACACATAAGTGTAGCCTATAATAATCATTATTGTTAATAGGTACTTGCTAAGTGCCAGAGTCGGCAGTAAGTTCTTACATTCAAGATCACATTGAATCTTCACATCAATGATATTGGTAGACATCAGTATGATTAGCCCATTCTGGAAGAGATGGCTAGCTGTTCACCTCTTCTTCCAGAGCACACATTTCCCAGTCATTCTTGCAGTAAAATGTAACATGTGACTGAGATCTAGACATTATGAACACCATGCCAGGGCCATGGTCTGCCCTTTCCACATTCTTTTTGTGCTGGATGCAGATGACCACGAAGCCCTATTTAGGTGTAAAGCTACAAAGAAAAGCTAGAGAAGGAATGCAACACTGTTAAGACAGAGAATGGAAGAATGGATGGAGCTACCATCAAGTAGGGGAAAATAGAGGGCTCTGGGATGCTGGCAGTAATTTATGGATCTGCATGGTGATTATAAACTGTTCATTTTATAATAGACATCTAAAGTGTATATTTTATAGACCTTTACATATATATTTATACTATTTCATTATAAATTAAGGTTACAAAACTTTGATTATACCTCTGCTTAAACTGAACATTAGACTAATCCATAAGCAAACATTGAGAATAACAATCGAAGTATATGGAAACAGCCTTCCTAGTACAGATTGGCTGACACAGAAGAAACCAGCAGAGGTCGAGTAACACGTACAAAGTAATCCAGACCAGTCCAGGGCAGAGATAACACAATTACTATATTCAATGAAGAATTTCTTCCAGTGTCTGTGGGAGGAGGAAAGTCAATTTACAATCCCATTTTATAGATTTTTAGTAGGAATAAAACATTATATTTATTTTAATGGTATAATAAAGAGGGTCTAGTTCTCATTCCATATCACATAATTTCATTTTCTCAACCCTTTCTACTTTCTTTATAGAGTTTTTCATTAAAGAACTTCTTCAGGTATTACTTTTAATTGGTCCATGATGAAAAGAATTTGGAGATATAGACATATTTAGGCATAGAAAAAAAAACTGTATTTCAATCTCCAGAGTGTTATAAAACATAATGATTGAATCAGAGCAAGGTATCACAATTGTAATTCAACTTTAGAGATGACTCATCAGTAAGTAATTTTGTGTCAAGTCCCAGAATATTGAATTAGAACATTTTATACTTCACCTGTCTGGATGAGCATTGTTCCTGGATACCAGGAGGGGCTGAATCTGAAGATGGAGGTCAGGTGGTCTCTGTTCAGTAAAGTGGACAGTGAATAAGTAGTTGGCCTTTGGTCTTTGCATGTTTGTACGCGTAATGCAATTATCATGGTTATTAACTTATATAAATTGGTCACAAGATGGAACTTGCCATGAGTTTCAAATAAATGGTTTTATTTATAAAAGTGATGGTAAAATATGATGGTGACAAAGTGTTGAAAATAAACATTTTGTTAGTTATTGCTAGGAATTATAAAGATAAAAGAAACAAAAAAAATTAAAACTATAAAGACATGATTATATAAAATAAGGGTCAAAGAAAAGAGTTCTCTTGTCACTGACAGTGGGAGTAGGCAATGGGAAAACATTAGGAATACTTTGACAAAATTCTGACTTCAATCTTTGGATTGGAGTTCTCCAACCAGTATAGTCTGCTGAGGCAGGAATTCAACACTATTCTTAATTTGGACTTGCGTTTCACAGGCAAGAAACTTCTGATGCCCTCTCACTGAAGAAAAGAAAAAAAAAAGGCTTTTAATTACTCCCTAAGTGTCTTTTATATTTTAAACAACTTTACTGAGGTATGATTGACATGTAAAAAGCTGTACATGTTTAATGTTATCAACATGATGAGTTTGGGGATAAGTATTTACTTATGAAACTATCATCGCTAACAAGGTCATAGACATATACATAACCTCCCAAAATTTCATCCCACCCTTTAATTAGTATTTTTTTTTTGTAATAAGAACATTTAAGTTCTATTCTCTTAGCAAATTTTAAGTATGCAATACAGTACTGTTAGCTATAGGCATTATGTTGTATTGTAGATCACCAGAACTTATTTTTGTATAACTGAAACATTGAACCTTTTGAAAATCACCTCTCTGCTTTCCTTTAACCAAAGCCCCTGGCAACCGCCATTCTACCTCTACATCAGTGAGTGTGACTAGTTTAGATTCTTCATGGCAGTGAGATCATACAATATTTGTCTTTCTGTGTGTGACTTATTTCACTCAGCATAATGTCCTCTAGTTGCTTCCATGTTGTTGCAAATCACAGAATTTCTTTTTTAAGGCTGAAAAAATATTCCATTGTACATATATACCGCATATTCCTTATCCACTTATCTGTCAATGGACATTTAAGTTGTTTCCATATGTTGGATACTGTGAATAATGCTTCAATGAACATGAGTGTGCAGATATCTCTTTGTGATACAGATTTAATTTCCTTTGGATATATACCCAGAAGTGGGATTGCTGTTTCATTTTTAATTTTTTGAGGAAGCTCAATACATTCTTCCATAATGGCTATATCAATTTTACATTCTCACCAACACTGTACAAGTGTTACCCTTTCTCCATATCTTCACCAACACTTATTATCTTTTGTCATTTTGATGATAGCCATTCTAACAGGCATGAGGTGATACTGACTGTGGTTTTGATTTACCTTACCCTGATGATTAATGATGTTGAGCATTTTTTCATGTACCTGTTGGCCATTTGTATATCTTTTCGGGACAATGTTTATTCATTCCTCTGCCCATTTTTTAATTGGGTTGTTTGTTTTCTTGTTATTGAGTTGCATGAGTTCTTTATATATTTTGGATATTAACCCATTATCAGATATATGGTTTGCAAGTATTGTCTCTCACTTTGTAGGTTGTCTTGTCATTTCATTGATTGTTTCTTTTGCTGTGAAGAAGCTTTTTAGTTTGATATAGTACAACTTACTGATTTTGGCTTTTGTTGCTTGTTATTTTGGTGTCATTTTCAAAAAATCATTACCACAACCAATGTCACAGAGCTTATTCTCTATGTTTTCCTATAGCAGTTTTATAGTTTCAGGTTTAACGTTTAAACCTCTAATCAATTTTGAGTTGATTTTTGCATGTGGTGTAATATATTCGTCCAATTTCATTATTTTTTATGTCAATATCCAGTTTTCCCAACACCATTTATTGAACAGTCTATTCTGTCCTCATTTTATATTCTTAATGACTTTGTTGATTAGTTGACCATATATGAATGGATTCATTTTTAAGCTTTTTATTCTGTTCCATTGGTCTACGTGTCTGTTTTTAAGCCAATATCATACTGCTTTGATTACTCTAGCTTTGAATATACTTTGAAATCAGGAAGCATGGTGTCTCAAGCTTTGTTCTTCTATCCCAAATTGCTTTGTCTATTTTAGGTCTTTTGTGGTAGTATACGAATTACAGTATTTTTTTCTATTTCTGTGAAAAATGCCATGTGAATTTTGATAGTAATTGCAAAGGATCTGTAGTTCATGTTGGGTAGTATTGCGATGTTAACAATTTAATTCTTCCTAGCCATTTTGTTTGTGTGTCTTCTTCCGATTTCATCAGTGTTTTCAGTGTACAGATCTTTCACCTGCTTCGTTAAAATTATTCCTTAGTATTTTATTTTTATATCTCATAAATGGAATACTATTACAAATGTTTTCTCAATTTTTTTCAGACAGTTCACTGTTAGTGCAGAGAAATGTATCTAATTTTTTTTTTTTTTTTTTTTTGGTGAGGAAGATCAGCCCTGAGCTAACATCTGTGCCAATCTTCCTCCATTTTTTGTATGTGGGATGCCACCACAGCATGGCTGACAAGTGGTGTAGGTCTGCACCAGGATCTGAACCTGAGAACCCAGGCCACTGCAGCAGACTGCGTCAAATTTAACCACTACGCCTCAGGGCCAGCCTTAAGAATATGTTTTCTTTAAAAGCCAGAGAGTGAAGATTCTGTGAAGACTATCAAGTATAATCCATTTTGTTACTATAAACATGAGGTATCAATCCTCCTGTGGCAAAGAGTTTTCTTTTTCATGTTTGTACAGTCAAACCAGCAAATAACTGGTTGTCAAAATGTATTTAGTGTATGGATGGGAAAGTGAAAGTCAGAGTGCTTAATGATTTACTGAAACTCACACAGCTTCATAAAAAAAAATCTAAACTCTTAGCCTTTTGTGTCAAGTAAACTCTAAAGTATACTCTTTGTAGTATAATTTACGTCTCCTTTATTCTATTATTTTTGTTGTAGTAAGCATGGAATATGGGAAAATATTGGTAATTTGAAAGTTGACTGTGAAAGCACACAGGATGCTATATGAATTTCTCTCAAGCTGGGTATTACTTTTTTTTGTTTTCTGTTTAGGAAAACTGTTTGATGGTTCTTTTTGTTGGGAAAGAGGAGGCTTTTTGGTTAGTATATTGTGCAGATGATTGGCTTAAATAGGGAAGTGTTGCTTTCCGTACAATTAAAAAGTTGAATTTGGACTGTTTGCAAATGTTTGTTATTCAGAGAACGGGGCATTGGAGAGAAAGGAGCCAAGAAACATGTCATTCCTCAGGACTCAACAGACACACGGCCAATAAATAAGATGGCTGTGTGTGGGGCATGGTCATTAGGTTTAGAAACCACATTTCAATCTGAATTTACATCCCGTCCTTTTGGAATATTGTAAATATTTCCCACTGTCCATAAAACTTTGAAAAAACTATAATGCACAATGTTTGTACATTAATAATCTTTTGGGGAACGAAGGTGGAAAACCTGCAGCCGCATTTGGGGAACAGGCAGAGAGAGGGCAGCAGCTACAGGAGATAAAACAGCGATGGGTAATTGAAACTCAAGTTAGGAAGATGGAATTTAGAAAGTAAAATGATCGATAATGAAAGCCTTTACCTCCGACTCTCTCTTTTCTGGAAGACCCTAGAAATGTTATAGAGATCACAGGATTTCTCCAGATGATGAAAGCATAAGTTACTTGATATTACAAAAAAGTTAAACAACAGGGCTGGAGAACCTGAGAACAACTAAATCATTCTTGTTTGTGTTGGCTTCCATATGCTACTCCCATATGGATTTTTAGGTACAAAAATCCTCAAATTACAGCAGGTAGAGCAATGACAACTAAAAGAAACATTTGGTGATTAAACCGAATATGACAATGTCTTTTCTGGAAATGATGTTGGATTATTTATTTTTATTTTTTTAAAAAAGTTTCTTTAAAAAATCTCAATTTGTTTTATCAAGTCATAATTAAATATTTTCTAAGATACCTTTAGTAGTATTAACTATTCATCATTTTCCCAATCTCCAGTCAATAATTAGATATTATAAAATTTAGTATAACTGGTTTGTTGGCCTGTTCAATTGTTTTTTAGTTGTTTGACATTCCTTAATCCTTGTCTTATGGTTTTAATTAACCACTCATATTCCATCTCCTGAACCCAACGTCCACATGTTTCATTTTAACTTTACAAGATTTATTTATAGAAAACTGTTCACCTTGGTTGGAATATCCTTTTCTGTTTTCTTTTACTTAATCTTCCTTTTAAAAAATTTGTTTTCCTTATTGAAAGAAAAGTGTAGATACAAGTAAACAAGTAAATAATATCTGTGCTATTTGGAGACCTTTTTATACCTTACAGAGGTTCTTCCATTCTCTTACATATTTTATTATGATATAAGGTGGCCTGAAGAGTGGCTTACATCTGGTCACTAATCTTTCATTTCATGAGCCTCCGAATTCAAATGAAATATTTTTTATTTACATAAGATATAAACATTCTTTAAAATTGATTTCTGTCTTCAACTAATTAGAAAAAATTAATAAAAATAGTTTAAATACAGTTTATAATAATTAAGAGCAGTGACATTTTTAAAAAAGCAAGCTAGCTGATTTTTAAGCAACTTAAGCACTTTTTAGTTAGCAATAACTAATCCGTGTCCATCTATCTGGATTTTTTTCAAAAGGCAGGGAATCGAGTCAGGGTATTTTGCATGCACAGCGTAGTTATCCTTGGTAGTTTTTGTTCCTTTGTGTTACGTAAATGGCACTGACAATTTATGAGGCAAACTATGATTCCATTAATACTGTCACAGCTGAGAATGAAGCAGTAAGGTGTTGGTTTTGCCTGTTCCTGTGTACCAGGACAGAGCTCTTTTTAAGTCATTGTGAAACCTTTGAGCTTCTAAGCTTAACAGAAAATGGTCCTCCTAGATAAGCCCCAGAAAGAAAGTTCCTTGATTACATCCTGAATTTTAGTGGAAACTTTCTCTGAGAGAGCTGCCATTGTTGCTCAGGATCAGATTTGGAATGAGCATGATCAGTGTGCACTGTGGTTAAGGGCTAATGAAAACTAGAAGTAAAAGGGGTCTTGACTTCTATATATTTTTAATTCCTGGACTCTCAACTTCATTGAATCTTGTTCTCCGCTCCTCTTTATACTGTCTCCTTACAGACACACACACACACACACACACACACACAGTATCTTCAAGTCTTATATTTTATGAGATCCTTGCCTAACATCCATTGCATGATATTCAACCCACTTTTAGTCTTCACAAGCACATTCAGGTAGATGGTTCCTGGTTGCAGCTCCAGAGAGGTAGGGCTGTGCAGAAAGTACTTACTGAATCTGGCCAGATAACATCATTATTGTTTCACTCATTCTTTTGTTTGTGTTGAAAAAGTTACTTTTTTTTTTTACCTGCTAAGGCCCTAACAATGTGTACAATGTGATGTATATGAAAAATGAAAAAGGCAGTGTAAGAGACTGATATAATGGTGGATTTCAAATGGAACATAATAGAATTACATCCTACATGTGGATAGATTCTAAAATTGGTCTAATATGGTCATATTACTCCTGAAAATTCACTAAGTCAGCAAATGTCCTTGTTGGGGACAGACGGCATTTTTCGCTAAGTCTGGCACAGTTGGTCTTTCTCTTGAGCATTGGGACATTTCACTGCATATTCATCTGAGCACCGGATGAATTATTCAGTTTATATTCAGGGTTTGTCATATGAAATATGCACCTATAAACAGTAAAACCTAATTCAGTGTGGGAAGATTTAAATTCTGAGACAGATTCCCATCTTCTCAGTGAGTGGGAGAGCTGGTGAAATCATCTAAGGTGTTTCAAGTCTGATGTCTGATGACAGAGGTCGGACATAAAGTTGAAAAGATCGTCTTAAAAATAGAGATAAATGCAGGATTTTACATTTTCTCTTAGGAGGACTGTTGTGTTGTAGTTTTCTCTGCACTGTCACACCTGTCCCTCTATGTGCTCCTCAGGGAAGAACTGTGAAGTACATGGGATCATAGTTCCCAACTCATAGATGATGAAACTAATGCTCAGAGATGTTCATGGCTTGTTTCAGATCACAACTTATAAGTCATAAAGTTGAGACTAGAACTTGGGTGTTTCGATTCTAAACCTATTAGGATTTTAAAAATATATTATTATTACTATTTATTGTATATATTATTTTCGGTGAGGGAGACTGGCCATGAGCTAACATCCATGGTTTTTCTCTTGAGCATCGGGCTAACATCTTTCCCTATCTTCCTCTATTTTCTATGTGGGGTGCTACAACAGCATGGCTTGATGAGCAGTGCATAGGTCCATGCCCAGGATCCGAACATGCGAACCACAGGCCACTGGAAGAGGAGCACACGAACTTAACCACGACGCTGCCAGGATGGTCCCCTAAAAGTATATTATTATACAAAATTTACCACACTGTGAAAAATCAGTGAAACTTGGATACTGGTTTTAGTGATTAAAATGTCTCAAAACAGAAATAAGAGCAAAATACTCAAATAAAGAAAGTTTCCAGAAATTATCTTTCAGATTTCTTGTTTGACAGCTCTATTGCTTAATTTTCAATGTGTGAATATATTCTTATTTGCTGCAGGCCTGTATAATAAATGGAAACACATAAGGTAGTCTATAATAATCACTATTATTAGATGTTTACTAAGTCTCAGGTTTAACAGTAAGTTTTTACATTTGGTATCTTATTTAATCTTCACATCTAAGATATTTGATAAGGCACAAATACAGACATACCTCAGAGATATTGTGGGTTCCATTTTGGACCACTGCAATAAAGTGAATATCACAGTAAGGGGAGTCACACAAATTTTTTGGTTTCCCAGTGCATATAATAGTTATGTTTACACTATGCTGTAGTCTATTAGTGTGCAGTAGCGTTATGTCTAAAAAAAGACCATGTGCATACCTTCACTAAAAAATATTTTATTGCTAAAAATGCTAACCATCACTTGAATCATCAACCTGTTGTAATCTTTTCGCTAGTGGAGGGTCTTGCTTCGATGTTGGTGGCTGCTGACTGATCAGGGTGGTAATGGTGAGGGTTGGGGTGACTGTCGCAATTTCTTTAAAAAGGACAACATTGAAGCTCACCCCATTGATTGACTCTTCCTTTCATGAATGATTTCTGTGTTGCATATGATGCTGTTTGATATCGTTTTATCCACAGTAGAACTTCTTTCAACATTAGAGTCAGCCTTATTAAACCCTATTGCTGCTTTATCAAGAAGTTTATGTAATATTCTAAATCCTTTGTTGTCATTTCAACAATCTTCACAACATCTTCACCAGGAGTAGATTCCATCTCAAGAAACCATTTTCTTTTCTCATCCAAGAAGCCACTCCTGATTCATTAAATGTTTATCATGAGATTGCAGCAATTCAGTCGCATCTTCCGGCTCCACTTCTAATTCAAGTTCTCTTGCTATTTCCACCACATCTGCAGTTACTTCCTCCATTGAAGTCTTGAACCCCTCAAAGTCATCCATGAGGGCTGGAATCAACTTCTTCCAAAATCCTGTTAATGTTGATATTTTGACCTCTTCCCATGAATCACAAATGTTCTTAATGCAATCTAGAATTGTGAATCCTTTCCAGAAGGTTTTCAATTTACTTTGCCCAGATCCATCAGAGGAATCAGTACCTATGGCAGCTATAGCTTTATGAAATGTATTTCATAAATAATAAGAATTGAAAATCAAATTATTCCTTGATACATGGGCTGCAGAATGGGTGCTGTGTTTGCAGGCATGAAAACAACATTAATGTCATTGTTGATGTCTATCAGAACTCTTGGGTGACCATGTGCATTGACAATAAGCAGCAATATTTTCAAAGCTATTTTTTTTTCTGAGCAGTGTTTCACAGCAGTGGGCTTAAAATATTCAGCAAGCTATGTTATAAACAGATGAGCTCTCATCTAGGCTTTGTTGTTTCATTTACAGAACACAGACAAGGTAGATTTAGCATAATTCCTAAGGGTCCTTGTATTTTCAGAATGGTAAATGAGCATTGGCTTCCACTTAACGTCACCAGCTGCTTTAGCCCCTAACAGGAGAGTCAACCTGTCCTTTGAAGCTTTGAAGCGAGGCATTGACTTCTTCTCTCTGGCTATGAATGTCCTAGATGGCATTTTCTTCCAATAAAACACTGTTTTGTCTACATTAAAAATCTGTTGTTTAGTGTAGACACCTTCATTAATTATTTTAACTAGATCTTCTGGATAACTTGCTTCAGCTTCTACATCAGCACTTCATTTTGCACTTTTGTGTTATGGACATGGCTTCTTTCCTTAAACTACATGAACCAACCTCTGCTAGCTTTAAACTTTGCTTCTGCAGCTTCCTCACCACTTTCAGCCTCCACAGAATGGAAAAGAGTTAGGACCTTCCTCTGGATTAGGCTTTGGCTTAAGGGCATGTTGTGGCTGGTTTGATCTTCTAACTGGACAGCTAAAACTTTCTCCATATCAGAAAAAAGGCTGTTTCACTTACTTATCATTCATATATTCACTGGAGTAGCACTTTTAATTTCCTTCAAGAACTTTTCCTTTGCATTCACAACTTGGCTAATTTTTTGGCACAAGAGAACTAGCTTTCAGCCTATCTCAGCTTTCAACATGCCTTCCTCATTAAAAGAAGCTTAATCATTTCTTGCTTTTGATTTAAAGTGAGCAGCATGTGTCTCTTTCTTTTGCTTGAAGACTTAGAGGAATATAGGGTTATTAATTGGCCTAATTTCAGTATTATCGTGTCTCAGAATAGGAAGGCCCCAGGAGAGGGAGAGAGAAAGGGGAATGACTGGTTGGTGGAGTTGTCAGTAGACACACAACATTTATTAATTAAGTTCACTGTCTTACATAGTTGTGGTTTATGCTGCCCCATATTACAATACAATACCACAATAGTAATATCAAAGATCACTTATCATAGATCACCATAACAAATATTATAATAATAAAAAAGTCTGAAATTTTGCGAGAATTACCAGAATGTGACACAGAGACACAAAGTTAGCAAATGCTTTTAGAAAATGACACCGATAGACTTGCTCTATGCAGGGTTGCTACAAACCTTCAATTTGTAAAAAGTGCAATTATCTGTGAAGCACAATAAAACAACATGCAATAAAACGAGGCATGCCTTCGTGATTAGCTCATTGTGGTAGAGATTGCTATCTGTTCACCTCTTTTTTTGGAACATACATTTCCTAGTCTTTCTTGCAGTGAAGTATGACATGTGTTTGAGTTGTAGACACAGTGGACACCATTTCAGCATACTTTTACTTCCACTCAAAGAATTCTTTTTAGCATATCTTGTAAGGCAGGTCTAATGGTGGTGAACTCCCTCAGCTTTTGGTTGTTATTGAAATTCCCTCTCTCTCCTTCATTTCTGAAGAACAGCTTTGCTATCTATAGAATTCTTGGTTGACAACTTTTTTCTTTTGATATTTTGAATATATCCTCCCATTCTCTCTTGGCTTGAAAAGTTTCTGTTGATAAATCTGCCCATAGTCTAATGGAGGTTCCCTTGTATGTAAGTTGTCTCTTTTCCCTTGCTGCTTTCGATATTCTTCATCTTTGACTTTTGACAATTTAATTATAATATGTCTTGGTGTAGCCCTGTTTGAGTTCAATCTATTTGAGGTTTTTTGGGGTTATGGACCTAGATGTCCATTTTCCTCCCTAGGTTTGGGAAGTTTTCAGCTATTATTGCTTTAAATATGCTTTCTGTCCCTTTTTCTTTCTCTTCTTCTGAGATTCCCAAAATGCAGATATTGTTTCTTTTGGTCGTGTCCCATAATTCTTATAGGCTTTTTTCACCCTTTTTCATTCTTTTTTTTCTTCTCTGCTTTGATAATTTCAAATGTCTTGTTTCCTAGAACACTGATTCTTTCTTTTGCATGGTCAGCTCTGCTGTTGAAGGTCTCTATTGAATTCTTCAATTGAGCTCAGTCATTGTATTCTTCAGCTGGAGGATTTCTGTATTATTATTTTTTTTATGGTTTTTGTTTGTTGAACTCCTCATTGTTTTTCATACATTGTCTTCTAATTTTATTTAGTAGTCTGTGTGCTCTTGTAGTTCACCAAACATCTTTAAGAGGAGTATTCTGAATTATTTATCTTACAGTTCATAGATGTCCACTTCTTTAGGGTCAATTATTGTAGTTTTATTAGTTTCCTTTGGTGGTGTCATGTTTACGTGATTTTTTGTGATCCTTGATTCCTTACATTGGTGTCTGTGCATTTGAGTAAGCAGTCTACTTTCCAGACTTGACAGGTTTGCTTTGGCAGAGACATTTATTCACCAGTCCACTCAGCTTGGGGTTCTGAACACGTCTGCTGGAAATGTCCTTGGGCAAGTGAGCTTGCTCCCATGGTCTATTTTGGGATGAGGGCACTGTCTGAGCACTGAGGTTGTGTGTGGGGGGTGCTGCTGGCTGAGAACACTTGGCTAGGACTGCTGGCTCAGTTCCCTGCCAAAGCAAGATTGTAGGGTGGCATTTGCAGTTGCCTAGGTTCTCTGGTCAGGCTTCCTAGATGATCAGTATTGAGTTCTACACTTAGTAGTAGGTGGAACTATGAATGAACTTACTTGTCCTGGTGGGACAACAGAACAGGCTCCACAACCTGCATAGCTTGTTGCTTGGGACTCAAAGCAGGCAAGACTATGCACTCAATTCCCTGTTCAAATAAGTTCACTCATTTTGCTCTGCAGATAGGGAAAGCCATGGGTTATGTTCTCTGTTCAAGTGACATTGTAAACAGGGCTGTAGGATGGCTATGCATATTCGTCTGTGCTCTGGTTCCTTGATATGAACAGGATGAAGGCTGCATTCATCAGTGGGTGGGGCTACAAATTAATTTCCTGGTCCAGGCAGGACTTCCATATAGGCCCCAAGGCTGACAAGGCTATTGTTTGGGGATCAAATTAGGCAGATCTATGCACCAAACTCTTTTGCCAGATGGGGTCACTGGCTTTTCTCTGCTGGCTGAGCTTCCTGCTTGAGTGCTGCTGGGCCAAACAGTTTCCCAGGTGCACTAACCAGGCTTTCTCATTGGGCAGGACCAGGTGTTACACTGAGTAATGGACTGGGTGAGGCAATAGATTAGATCCCCCGCTTGAGTGGAGTGGTGAATAGCTGTCTCCAAGGACCAAAAAACTCTTTTTTTGTAGTATTGACTCAAGCCAACCTGTGCCCCAAGTTCCCTGGTCTAACAGGTCACTGACTTTGCTCTGTGGGTCATCACTTCTGCTTGCTGCACTCTCTGCTTGAGTGTTTTTGGGCTATACAACATTCCAGGTTTTCCAGCCAGGTGTTCGGTTCAGTCAGGGCCAAGAGCTACCCTTAGCAATGGGCAGGGTTATGATTTAGGTCTCCTGCCTGGGCAGAGGTACAGACCAGGCTCCAGGTACTTTGTTTGAGGTCACAAATCACACAGACCTGCACTCCACCAAGTTCTCTGTTCAGACTGCACCACTATCTTGCTTCTGCAGATGAGTAGTTACTGTTTGGGATTACTACTTAGGCACTACGGGTAGGAACTCGATCTGCCAACATCCCAGTGCTGGTTGTTGCAAGCCTCTCCCCCCTCCTCCATCATAATGAGATTCCCATTGGTAAAGCCCGTAGATTCCTCTGATAACTTTCTCTTTTTCTTTTGTATAACTTCTGTATTTTCTTTGCGGTTACCATGGGGCGTTATACACAATAACACAATTGTAACAATCTCTCTTAAGTTGATAACTTAACCTCATTTGCTTCCAAATCCCTATCCTTTTATTTTCCTCTACACCTTATCTTATTTATATCACAATTACATCTATTTGCATTGTGTAGCCATTAAATATTTTTAGTTATAGTTATTTTTAACATTTTTGTCTTTTTCCTTTGTATTAGTATAGAAATAAATTTACCCACTACAATTACATCGTGTTCTGTATTTTTCTACGTGTTTACTTTTATCAACTCATTTTAGACTTTGCTAAGCTAATGTATATTGTTTAGCATCCTTTCTTTTCAACTGAAGAAGTTCTTTTATTTTTTTTGTGTGTAAGGCAGGTGTAATGGAGATGAACTCCTTCAGCTTTTGTCTGTCTAAGAATATTCTTATTTTTCCTTCATTTTGAAGGACAGTTTTGCCAGTTATAGTATTCTTGGTTGACCATTGTTTCCCCAGCACTTTCAATATATCATCCCAATTTCTTAAGCCCTGCAAAATTTCTGCTGAAAAATCCACTGATGTTCTGATGGGGATTTCATTGTAAATGATAAGTTGCTTTTCTCTTGATGTTTTCAAAATTATCTTTGTCTTTGATTTTGATAATTTGATTCTAATATGTCTCAGTGTGGATTTCTTTGGGATGATCTTATTTGGAATCTTTTTTGCTTCCTGGATCTGGTTGTCCATTTCCTTCTACAGTTTTGGGAATTACTCAGTTTTTTCTTTTTCTTTGAATAAGCTTTCTGTACCATTCTCACTCCCATGTCCTACTGGGATTCCTAACATGTGTATGTTGGTCCACCTGATCATGTCCAATAAGTTCCTAAGGCTTTCTTCATTATTTTTTATTGTTTTTTTTTTTTTTTAATAATGCTCCTCCTACTGAATAATTTCCAATGAGCTGTTTTTTTTTTTTTTTTCAAATTAGATGATTCTTTCTTTTGTTTGATCTAGTCTGCTGTTGATCCACTCTAGTGATTTTTTCAGTTCAATTGTATTCTCCAGGTCCATTATTTTTGTTTAGTATTTTAAGTTTTCTATATCTTTGTTAAAATTCTCCCTTTGTTCATGTATTTTTCACTGACTACAGTGAGCATCTTTATGACAGTTAAGTTGTGTTTTCTATCAGGGAAATTATATATTTCTATTTCATTAGGGTGTGTTTTTGGAGATGTAAGTTGTTCCATTTTGAAAAATATTTTCCTGTTTCTTCATTTTTCTTGACCCTCTGTGCTGGAGTCTGCACACTATACAAACCAACTACCTGTCCTAGTATTAATGGGCTAGCCTTGTGTTGGAGAAGACTAATACCAGTAAGCCTGGTCCGGGACTGTGAGGGCATCTCAACCTGTGTATTAGTCCAACCTGCTTTTTTTGTTCTTAGTGACCCCCAGACATCCAGATTGCGCAGGGTCCCATCACTGCTCAAAACATGTGAGACTGAAACCAATTCCTCAGGCAGCCCCAGATAAGGTCATTGGACACATAGTGTGTCTTTTCCCCCAATATTGAAAAGAACTGGAAGAAATATGGAGAAGTGAGAAGAAACATGTTTTTAATTACTAGCTCTGTGCTAAGCCAGAGGGAGAGACTGTGGTGACTTCCATCCCCAAACCACTATCTTGGTTCTCTCTCACCTTGGGCAGCTAAAGTATGCCATGTCCTGTGGCCCATCTGCTTTCTGAGACAGGCTATACAGAGGCCAGTCTTCTGGACAGTACCAAGAAAAGTTGGGTCATTGGATGAATTGTGCACCCCATTCTGTTCCCACGGAGAAGCTGGACAGGGCGGTTTTGTGCCAATTGTAAATAGTTGTGCAAGGATAGGTATTATGCAAGAGGCTATATTGAATTTCCCTAACAGCTTAAATATTACTGTTTTTATGCTTGAATTGGGTGCAGGACCCTCTTAACTAGTATCTGGATTTCTTACAAAGGGAATATGTACATGAATCATTTTTAAATCAATGTGTTCAAGGAGAGTAGAAAGGTCTAGGGGTTACCTCTTTTGCCATCTTGCAGAATGGGAAATGGGCTCTCCTTTGGGAGATATACAATCTCTACAGTGGAAAACTTAAGTAAAAAATAGTCCCTGAGGAACTAAAGACATATTATGGCCTGGGTGTAAATACAGTCCCCTTAGTTCCCTATTACACCTAGAAACTGTCGCCTCAGGAGGAGACTGAGAAAGCTTCTATCCTGTTTAGAACTGAGTACAATATATTATTAAATTCACATTAAATCTTCTATGACTTACCAAGAGGCAAAAAAGATAATAGTATACACTATTTATTTTTCTCTTTTGCTTGTGTGCTGAAGTCACAGTCAGAAATTATGATCTGGGGGCTGGCCTGGTAGTGTAGTGGTTAAGTTTGTGCACTCTACTTTGGTGGCCCAGGGTTTGCAGGTTTGGATCCCGGGAATGGACCTACACACCACTCAGCAAGCCATGCTGTGGCAGCAACCCATATACAGAATAGAGGAAGATGGGCAGAGATGTTACCTCTGGGCTCATCTTCCTCAGCAAAAAGAGGAAGATTGGCAACATATGTGAGCTCAGGGCCAATCTTCCTCACACAAAAGAAAGAAAGAAAGAAAGATTTATGATCTGTAGTTCTGAAAGACTTCTGGTGCATATCCAAAATTAAGTGTGGGATGCATCTCCTTAGAATCAAATGAACCAAAGCCTCAGAGTTTGAAATTGCCCTTGCAGGACCAAGGGGGTAAGAACAGTAATCAGGAAGCACCAAGGTTTTATGACTTATGGCAGGTAAGTTTCTGAAGTCCATTATATTGATGCCCTTGTTATTTGAGATGGAACTCCAAGGATCTGAGATATGCCACTTTCTTTACCATGTTTCAGTCCTGAGACTTATGTAAAATTGGTAGTAGAATCTGTTCAAGGGGGTGCAGGGAAAACAGAGAGACATTATTGGGCTCAAAGAACGCATTATATCAGTCAGATCCATGATGGAATTCTGACTTCTACACTTATGACTTTTACTCTGTGACATGGGCCAGTACCTTAACCTTTCCTAGACTCTAATTCCTTAGTTTTGGATTAGAAACAATGTTTTGGTTCCTATCTCAACAAGTCTAATCTGCATTAGAGGCCAGCATCAGGTAGGTTGTGTTGCTGCCTCCAATTTTACTGATGAAGAGAGAGTTCAAATAAATGAGAAATGTTGTCATGAGAGAAGTACCCTTCTGTCCTGGTCCAGACTTCTCCTTATCCTTTTGTCTTCCATAAGTCATTATT